GTGTGTGTGTGTGTGTGTGTGTGTGTGTGTGTGTGTGTGTGTGTGTGAGATGATGGGAAACCCTGCTTGCCTCACAGATCAAGGCTCTCAGGTGAAAGAGTAGAGTTTCAGGTCTAATTTTTACTCCTGAACACAACAAAGACCCGGCACTCTTTGCCCCATTTACAACTGTTGTGCCACTAGAGAGACGTTTGTCCTGCCAGATTGTTTATACCTCATTAGAATAATGTTACACATTATGAGACTCATTTTTCATCATGAATGGGATGTCTTCAGGGTTCTGTGGATATTACTGTGTGTGTGTGTGTGTGTGTGTGTGTGCGCCTCATTTTTCGATTTGATTCACAGTGTCCTTATCAACATTACTTCCTGAAGTTGTAATGAAGACACCTCTGTTGTTTAGTGCGTTTCACAATTGATAAGGAGAGGAGGAATTACTGTAATATACTGCTCTGCTCCTGACACGCATAACAGAGTGAAAAACCCAGAGTAGCACTTCCTGCTGTAGGTGCCTTAATTGTCCCAACACCACACCTGATCAGTGATGTTTTAAACCAACATTGCTTCTGCGGTATTCCTATCTAGGAATATGTAAAATGTTCTATATCACAATAGACCGGCTTTTCACTCTGCTTTCAAGTGAAGCCGTTAGAAACAGCCAAAGTAGAAACACTTGGTGGCACAGCATGTCGTAAAAACTAGTTGATAGAGTATACCCAGGCCCTTAATCCCCCCCTCAACAAACAGATACATGAATATTTAATATCAAAACTATAGCACATACTGTAAGGAGGCAGAAGAGGTGGCAGAGAGAAATGCAACAGAAAACTTAATCAGCAGTAATGTTGATGCAAACTAACAGTGGACATTATCAGGGTATACACTTGTACAATCTAATGCAATTCAACTCGGCAGCTCTTTAGTGAATTCTACCTTGCCGTTTTGAATGTTCAGTTTTTTGGGGGTATTTTTGCCTTTATTTATCAGTGTTAGAGACGGAGACTAGAAATGGGGAAAGAGAGAGCGGTATGAAATGCAACAAAGATCCAAATACTGGAATCGAACCCGGGACGTTGCAGTAATATGGCATGCACTGTAACCACTCCGCTACCAAGGCACTGCCATATGGTTATCATTAAGGTTGTAGTTTTCCGGTATGTTGTATTGGACTACATTATATTGAGCAGTTTTACAAAAAAAAAATGTGCCTCCCTTTTTATATACATGAAACACATCTTTGACAGTGTCGTAAAAAAATGAACAATATAGGAATCATAAAAGTAAACTTTATGGCAGAACAGTCTTACTTGATTTTACTAGATTGTACCTAATAAAGTGGCCACTAAGTGTAATGGCTGCACTGCAAACCTGAATATGATCGATATTACTAGTCAGCTGGTCGTCAAGCAGCTGATGACTTCAGTGCTCTGTCTAGAGCTATGCTCCACTTATCATTTTTGAGATTGTGCCCTTATCAGTTGACATAATGAATAAAGCTGCAGTTTTATTTCATCAGTGCACCTATAATTTGGTCTCGTGTTGTATTGTAAACTCCCATACAGTGCTGTAGTAGAATGAGTCTTAAAACTTGGTGTGTCAGCGTTTCTGCACTTCCAGTTCCCTCGACTTGAAGTCAATGGGTTTTTTGAATGGGTTGTTGTTAGAGGCCTGTAATAAGGTCTGTGGTTAACACAAGCTTAAGAGATTGAATGTTTTACTCGCGCTCATGTGACCGTGGTGTAGTTTGTTTTTAGCCTAAAATTAGCTTTTTACTTTTGAGGATTGCGTTCATGCTTCAAAATCATAAAAGTGGTGTTCATTTCTGAAGATTCTCTTGCTGAACAAAAACTTTTAAGTATCATTGACATTTGTTTACCATGTTTGTTCGAAATAATCCAAAATCCAATGGAAAACCCCATCGGCTTTTTATCGAGGGAACCAGTGCGATGCTAACGTCAAGGGTTAGGTTTTCATCATTGAGTGTGTTTTCCAAAAGAGATTAAAATGTGCAGAACCTAATGAGATGCCAACAAATCGAAACAATAACAAAAAAATTCCTTTAGCATGCATTTCTAGAACTTGATCGCATCGTTGCACTCTGTGCAGGGTAAATTAAACTCACAATAATGATTTGCCGTCCATAGTCTGGTGTGTGTGTGTGTGTGTGTGTGTGTGTGTGTGTGTGTGTG